GGGGCACACGTTTTGCTTGGGTTTAAGCCAACCATCACACTGCATACAGTCGTTTGTTTTACGATTGAACACACAAGCACACACACATATCTTCCGTGACTTTTGCGTACAATCGCCCTCGGATAAACGGGCAAAAATACGTCTCAAACAGCGCCTATCGGGGAGACCGCCACTCGAGCTATTTATGTAAGTCCCACAACCTCGTGGTGTATGTATAACACATTTTTATGTTGCTCGTAAAAAATATAAAACAGAAAAAATGACATGAACCAGACGTTTGTTTTAGTATACGGAGAGAAAAAAAAAATATCACTAGTATACGGAAACGAAATCAATTCCATTATACATACTGCAAGTCGACCGCAGCAGCAGAGCAGTACGCCGCGAGTGTAAATAATAATAATAATAATAAAACCTATAAACTCGTAATTAAAAAAATACACGCTTGTTTATATATTATTTTCCTAAGAGCTGTTAACTCGCCTAAATACATATTATATTATTTACTGCCCGATACGATGATGATAACTATCCATACGACGACAAATGCGCGCATATATTTTGCTTTATACGTCGAAGTGTAAATACGCGCGTCTGGTGAAATCATAAGCTGCTGCTGGTTTACGCGATCGTATTTCTATTTAGGTTTTATAGCGATGAGACGATTTATATCCGAACAGCGTCCCCCGTGTCGCTATATAGTGCCACAGGAGTAATAAATAAGACGAGGAAATGCTGCAGAGCTACTATATTATTATTACCAGACTCAAGTCAATATATTATGTTTAATATAATATAATATAATATTATATCAAGTTATAATACATGTTATGATACGGTTTTATACACCTACAGTATGCACACTGCAGTGGCCAGTGGCGTATCTACTGGAGAATATGGGGGTCGTATCCCCGCACCCGGGAGACCAAATATTTTGCACAATACAACATTATGTATATAATAATATGAATATGTGTATACTGGATGATTATTAAACATTTTATATCTCCCTACCCTGATACGGCACTGACACACTGTATAGTCTATGTAAGCCGGAGGGATACAATGGGATAGAGAAACATCGGATTGAAATTTAAAAAAAAAAACCCGTAATAGATAGGTATAACATAATATATTATTAAGATTTGTAGAAAATAATATTAGTTACACTAATGGAAACTTAACTACTTAACTTTTTACCACGTTATAGTACCCTTCAATAGTACGCACTTAAATTAGTAATAAATGTAAAATAAGGATAAAATGATAACCAATTACAACTCAATCGTAATATAATAGTTAAAAACTTCAAAATAAACAAAAACTTATTTATAAGAAACTCATCGTTTTCTATATTATACAAATAACGTTAAAATCGAAAAACTACGTTTTCCCCGCGAGCACGTCTTACATAATATTATATTCATAGTACCTACCTAATAAGTAATAACTAATAAGTAAAAACATTAATAAATAATATATGCATAGGCATAATATATACATACCCATATGACTACATATTATTACCTATATAATATATTAATCAACTGAATAATTCCCCAACGTATACGATTACATAACTACATATAATACTTTGTTACGGTATAAAAACGAGCCGATATTATCGACCGACGGGTGGAATTTTATTCGTATTTTCGGAATACCGGTGTACCTTATTATATATGAGGGGCAACGGAACAAAAAAATAATAATAATAATAATCCGATAAACAGATTTATCGAGGTGAATAAGAGTTAGCAGCGAACGCGCTCAATATTCATAATAATAATGCACCACCGGCGGGATTGCGAGTTGTAAACATGCGTGCAGCAGACCGAAAACGAGTGTATCGGTTTATTTGCAGCTATGAACGACGGTGCATTTCGATTATAATAATCAACTGGAGAACAATTATATTATATTCGGTGGCGTGTATTAATATATATAATGCAATTTGGAAATTGTATAATATAATATGCTCTCAGCCACGGTGGAGATGATGTTTGCCGTGTCCTTCGACGGAGAACATAATAATAAACAATAATCAAAATATAATATAACAATAATTTTACATAGGCACTGCAGCTGTTCAAAACGTTTTCCGACGATTTCAATATAATGGTTATACGTTCGTTATTCGGTATTTAATTTATTAATTATTCTGGTATTTATAGTAATGTATTGATCGAAAAACGAAACTATTTTTTTTTTCTCTGGACGAAACGCAACATGATGAGGTGTTGCATATTATTTTAATGAGGTATTATTAATATAATAGCTACTGCCAATACGCAGTCAATTACAGAGGTGTATAGTTTATAAATTGGTACACAAAAAGCCACTTAAATCAACTGGTACGCGACATTAAAAATAAAATACTTGGTTCTTAGGTACCCCCCCCATAATACTTCACCCACGCTAATTTGTGAATAAAATAATTGGCAATTTATCCATTCGTTTGTATTATGTTACCTATATATACACTGCCACTGCCGGAATTTCAAAAGAAATAAAATTATTATTATTTTACAGGGCGTACTTTCGGGGTAAACGCCATTCGCGGGGAAATATTGAGTAAGATATTAACCATAATATAACCTTTATAATGATATATATTATAGGCAATATTATAAATGTCGTTTGAACTTAATAACGAGAGGTTTCTTTCGGTTTACATATTTTGTTCACCGAAATTACACGTTGAAGCCCTATGCGAACGACGTAACGAATATAAACGGCGCAGCGGTAACGCGCTGCCGAAATGAAATGCACACAATGATTGAAAACCCTGTCACCGCCGCCGTAATAATATATACTTTCAAAGGGCGCACAGATTTTATAAGATTTTTTTTTACATAATACGCTCGACGTCTGTGTATATCGAAACGGAGTTGGGGTGCTAGACGACCGATTATGTGCGATGTCGCGAGTACATAATATAAGATCGCGGCGTCGGCAGCGGCGTTATCCAGACCGGAAAAAAACATCAAAGGAATCTGCAGCTCGCGACCGGACGAGAAACGCTGGAGGCGGCTGTGTGCAGGAAAGCCGTGGAAAATACGTAATATCGGTACAGCAGCAGTGCCACCGCTCCTCAAGGGACGTTATAAATAAAACACCGTGCACCGATAACTTATTTTATACATATATAGAGGTACGTGTGAGGCATATCATTGGCGGCGTCGCCGAAGACTTAAAAGCAACGCGCGCGGGGGCACAGAAAAATAGAAAGTATAAAACTTTAACCGAACTTTATCTACCACCAAACACACACACGCCAACCGTCATTCAATGTTACCGCCGACAGACCACTCCCCCATTCCCGTCCCACACTCCCACCTCCACCGCGCACTTTTACGGAAAGTATTCGTTTTTACACCAATTCGCGCGCCCACTCGCGCGCGCGCGCGCGCGTGTGTGTGTGTGTGTGTGTGTGTGTGTGTGTGTGTGTGTGTGTGTGTACTGTGTAGGTACTGTGTGTATAGCTGCATGCAACCGAACAGGGTTTGGTATTATATGTATAATAATAATAATATAGAAGTATAGAAGTATAAAAAGGGTTTTATTGATCCGAGGGACGGGTGCAGTGCGAAAGGATGACTGTCACTTTTAGCCCTCTAGTATGGCTGAGCCTTTCGCCGCCGTCTCCGTTATTATATATTGTACGTTCGTCCGCTACACCATGTGACGGATAGCATACGAGTTCAAATCCGGCTTATTTGCACAAAATACCGTTTTCATCCCTACATACACCTCGTCAGCCAACATAGCTTCATAATATCTTCCCTGTAGCTACTTCACATTGTCAATTTATATATATATATGTGTTCATACAGACCTACCTACCTACCGATGCTTTGAGTATACATATAGTAATGTAAAAACACACAATATAAACATATTATTTGGCGTACTTCATACCTATATATTATGGCCGGCTAACAACTACTGCTGATATACCTACAGCTGCAGTAAATATTTTAATTTCCAGTAAAACTTTTAAAATTTAAAACTGTATTGTTCGCATTATATTGTACATACGATATATTCCTATATAATAGGTACCTATATAAATATAAACGTTTGTATAAAAAACAAAAAAACATTCTATATGTTTCACATAATCTCTCAACAATACGCGTGCTGGATTATTATTAAACTGGATTCCAGCAGGATTGAATAAGCTCTCTCCGAAAACAACTTGTTACGGGGCTCTCGAGTGACTTTGGAGTGTGTAAATGTACCTTTATATGTATATATATACAAAGACGAAGGGGGAGACTGCAGCACACAAATACGGTCTACGATGTCGGAATCGGTTTTTTTAGCATCTAATAGGTACAATAGGTACATTATATATATATATAAAACCATCGGACAACTACTGTAAACAAAGATATTTGATCGTGTGAAATGTTATTTTCTCCCTAACCTTTTCTGTTGGGTCCGTAATTGCTTTTTGAAGTGCGCTACTGGAAAATCATTCGAGATCCGCGTGTTCAGAGCCTTCATCAGCCGTTTCGAGGGCTCGCTGCACACTACTTCTGGTCGAGGGCCCGCGATACGAGAAGTGTGCAAATTATAATTACAGAGCGATTATCTCCTGCACCCTTCGTCAGTCGTCGTGCATACACAGAGCGCGAAAATCATATTGTTTAGACAACCGCCAGTTGAACGGTCCTTAATTAAATTTTTCGTCGAACGAGTCAATTTAGTTATAAGGTTTTTTTTCGGTAGAATTTGAATTAAAATTCGTTGTCGAGGGAATTGTACGCAGTCCCTACGGTGGCGGCGGTGGTAGCACGATAGAACACGTCATGCACGAGAACTCTGTGGCAGCGCGGGGGTGGTGAGATGGTGGGAGGGTATTACCGGTGACGAGTGTTTGACAGCTGAAACGCGTGAGGGTCGATTCTATTTCTGAAATTATTCCATTCCCCCATTTCTTTTTTTTGGTCCCCTTCCATGGTGTGGGCCACACGAAAACAACACAAGGAAATATGTCACGTTCGGGTGTTTGCGCCTTGCGAGGGGATGCGAATATATATATTGTAACACGTTACACGTCCCCAGTACCGCGCGCCTGCCCGTCCATCGTCAGGGCCATCGGACCGATAAATCGGTCCAGCGACGTTCTCGTCCGGACGTGTCACGAAAAGAATAAATCCGAAACGTGTTTTGCCTTTTTTTCTGACAGCCGTAATGGCCGTGTTGAGCAATCTATGATTGCCGGCATCTATCGTATTGCAGCAGGGTCGAAAACCCAAATGTCGTAAACAAAATAACCTTAACAATATTTTGGTTTGAAATCAATGGAAAGAAAGACCAGGGCTGCTACTACGTTTTTTTCTTTAAATGTTTATTATTTATACTAAAATATTTGAGAAACGATAAAAATAATATGTAGGTATAACTACATATTACATTTAAATATTCAACTTAATTAAATGACAATAATACATTATATTATACACACTTGACTGTTAAGGTCCTTGTTGACCGTTGTTTATATAAAATATATGTCTAAAATAAAATAAATTATTAAAGAGAAAAACGTTAAATAATTTTAGTATGAAATTCAAAACGAGTTCCTAGAATTTAAACTTCGGACAGTTTTATATTGTGAGTAAATTAATTCGAAATGTTCTACATAAAAACCCGAGTAGAACCGGTTGCGTTATTTGTTAATATTCATTATTCAATAGGCAATACACACGATTGGACTACGGTTTGTGGGCTGACTATAATATTACTTGTTAGTTTTTATATTATTGAAACTATATACTACACGTACCTATAATAAACGTAGCGATTATTCGCGAACAAGTTACATGTACATAATATAATAATAATATATAATACCTACATATATGTATACCTACACGGGTTTGTGTATTTTGAAGATTTTTTAATAAGAAATGACTGCGTATACTTGTAAAGTTTTAAATGTTTAAAGCATGATAAAATTCTTCCTCGTATAAACGGTTATTAACATATTACTTAATTATACTATACCTAAGTATAGTAATATGATTTTAAGGAATTCGGTAGTTTTTATTTTGATATCTAATTATTATGTAAAATAAATATATAATTTGAATAAAAATATGTATACCTAACTTCTGTCGACGGTGTTCGATATAATATGCATTAACAGTTTTTGTAAACCTATTACTCGATAGTTGATTCTGTATACAAAAACATGATATACGATATAAGACATTTTATTGATTAGTATAGGTCTATAGAGGATACCTATAATAATACAATTCTATAAAAAGTAACACAACTTTTGCGTAACTGCTTCAGGTGATGTTAAATTCGACCAAAACTTACTAACATGACGCTTATGTATATTGTAGAATATATTATATTTACTAAACTACTGTGTGGTAGTAATTGAATGTCACCAACAGAGTACATTTAACGGTACTTTTTATTTATTCGGAGACAACCGCGTTTGAATTATTATTTATCCATATTTCTTTTTTCGTTTTTTTTCTCTCGATATCCGTTGTCAACTGTTCTATTTTTACGGTCCATTGTCCGACCGCTCGCCGCTAATTGTACCTCTACAGCAAGAACCCGCGGGACGCAAGTTCTTGATTAATTCTCCTTCTACCCGACCGCAAGATTGATCGATTCCCGGTCAAACGCGACAGGGATATTGCTCTTCGCTCCGCAGTCGTCCCTAGCGTTGCGTTTTGGACAAGAAAAGTCTAACGCACACCACCGCCGCCGTTTGTCCGTCAACACGATCCATCAACGTCTGGCGGTCCCCTACTCGGAAAGCTTTTCCGGGGAGGAGGAGGGTGAGAGAATGGAATATGATCGATAGCCCTCCCCACCACGATTCCTCAGCCCCCGCAAAAGCGAGGATCGGCGGCCCGAGACCGTCGTCGCACCCTATCTTCCCCCCACCAGCGTCCCGTCGGAATCGATTTTATTATACGGTGCAGCGCGAAGAAGTTACCTAAAACCCAAACCCAAGGCGAACGGCAATTACGGCCGGTAACGAGATTCGTCTGACACGCGATACACTCCACGCACTGCACCGATGCGGCTCGCGGGGCGAAAGTTCTACACCCCGCGCCTCGTCACCGCCGCTAAGGGACTTATAAAAGGATTACGGGACGAATTTCGTTACCGTTTATATACGGCCATATTGGGCGCACGGAGTAATCCTTTTACTCGTACATGTTATTTACTGTATTTGTACACGACGATGTATCTAAGTACGCGACCTTTGCTAGACTGCGTCACTGCGTGTATGCAAGACCCGTGTGCTGCTAAGGTGTCGTAGGTTAAAAGGGCCCGAGAGGGTTGTGTGAATTCGATTAGAGATTTACTCGCCGCCGCTTAGGTAAATAAGTAGTGAGTTACACGTTAATGCGAATAACAACAAATATGGCTGGTTAATAATCTTCTCCCGAAGTGTACAATACGCATTTGAATTCAAATTTTGAACTATACGTATAGTCAACAAGGACGGTTCAATAGAATTTTATTTTGTATATTTTTTGAAACGAAATTAATCTAATATAGCACGCGAGTCGAACGATTGTTTGTCATCCTATTTCGTCAAATCATCACTATATTATATAGAACGTCTGAACGTACTGTAGCATGCGCATGTTATTTTACAAAACTATACCAAAGTGTTTACGTCAACTGTTATTCATTATTTTTTTATTGAATTCAAAACCAAAATGTATTTCTCACCATAGACTTCACGCATAAAAAAAAAGAAAAAAAATACTCTGTCGTTATAATATCGGGGCGGCGCGGCGGGACGTATTGTATAACAATATAATATATTATCGTATAGGTCCTATACTATAGGATAATATTATAAATGTTATATTTATATTATATAGTTTCCAAATGAATTTAATTATGACGTTTGAATTCGTACCTATATGTTTATAATATATTAATATAATCGTATATATACGACACGAGATTGACGTATTCGCGTGAGTGCGTGACAATATATATTATATATAATTCAACAAACCCAAATAATAATAATATACCTACCTGTGTACGTACTTACATTACAACTGTACTCTAATAAACTAGATATAAACGTGTGTTAATACTGCACGAGAATTCGGTACGAAAACCTTAATATATAAACTTGATTCAACAATTACCTCAAGTATACGCGTAGTGTATCTATATATAATATAGAGTAGCGATATATGGATAGGTACACGCGGTGGTGCACACGAGACATACATATTGTAGTACTTACGAACAGGAGAGACGGTGTATGGATTTCGTACACCATATAATACACACATTATATACGAGATATATAATATATATATATATATATATATATATATGCGTATACAGAGTAGAACAAACAACGCGCAGTAGATTTCTATTAAATGTGATCTACAAAGAGGTCGGGACATAATGGCTTGTGGTGCTCTATTAAATGTTAAGTGTGCATCGAAATTCTGAACAGTTTGAAAATTAGAACAATCGACCCTTCTCCATAAACACCTCCGTTGGAACGATTTTTATTTCACAAGACCGCTCGCCGACGTTGTAAAAACAATGAAACATATAATATTATAATATATTCGAATTTCTCCCCTCTAATTTTTTTTTCAAACGCACTAATTGTCGCGACGGTTTTCTTTTTTATTATTTCTTTTTTACGTAAGTGACGAGAAATTCATTATTTATATACACGCTGTGCACGCAACCACCCTATAAGTGCACACAGTTTTGGGAACCCCTGCACAGTCCGGATAACACGCGTGTGTTCAGTTTATGTGCCACACAAAAAGGGGTGTATACTGTATATAATGCTATAATATAACGTTAACGCACATACGGAGAGGGCTGCTGGCCGTAACGGGGCAACAAGTGCGTTTACGCCGAATTAAAACTCCATCAATCATCCTGCAGCTCGGCCGACTGAAAAACCTTGAATTGGAGGGTATAAATTGTAGTAAAGTAAAAACTGTATACAGAGTATACTATATAGTTTGAAGGACTCGTCGTTGACCATTTAGTAACTCGCGTACATACCAAAGGGTTGGTAATCCCGGAGTTGACGGTCAAGCAATAATTTTTTCAGTGGTCGGATTGTCGAAGCGCTGTCATCGTAAATAACAGACGTGTATAATATATGGGTCTTGAGTATAACTATATAATAATAGCGATTTAACACATCGATAGCTATGATTATATACTCGTATATATGTGTTATATATTCAATCACTTGTGACATGGTAAGTTTAATAATAATAAACTATTTCGTTGTTACTATTATATTATATTAACACAACAATTGACTTGCTTGTTTGAATGTATTATGTAGAGCATTATTAAATTAATATTAATATTATTTCAGTCTGCATTAAAAGTTTTTTCAAAAAAAATTTAATAAACAAATATTGTTCTGTATCTACAGTCAATGACCACTTGTAATAATAAACTAAAAAAAAAATCCGTACCTAATCGGTAGAAGAAATAATTTGTCAAAGGGCGGTAAAAAAATTATAATTATTTTATGTTGATAAAATTACTCGGACCATTAATCTTATTTTTCAATAAGTGGCCACATGGTTGTTATGTACTCAAAATTTAAAGTGACATTTAACGGGATTCTTCGCGATCGAAACGAGCTGTTAAAAACGTACAAAGTATATATCAACTCAAGGTTATTTCTGGTTTTTGTGACATGCAATGATTGTAATTAAGTTGTCACTTCTTAATATGTTGTAAGACAACTTCTTGAGACATATCATTGTAAAAGTATTTTATAAAAAAAATCTCAAAATTAAACGTTATAGGTATATACAATTATACAAGTTACTGTCAACTATTATATCATCCAATAAACTAATATGTTTAAAATTTAGACGACAATAATCAATAATCTTTCTTCCCTATAAAAATGTAGGTATGGTTTGATGTAGTTTAAACTATATCCAACCAACACAACAATGTTTTATTAGGAATCATTATAAATTGTAAAACATAGTGGCTATGAAAAGGAAAACTTTCATATTTTTTTTTAATACAAACAATAGATATTAGATGCCAAATTTAAAGTAAGAAATGTAGTTTTAGTTAAACAAGTTTTACACAAAATATAAAAGTTTTCTTTTAATATATTACCAGATATTTTACTTTATTAAAGTACAAAAAGTTTTCTTAAATATATTAGTTTTTAAAATCAGTATTCAGGAGATAGTTGATTGATTCTATATTGACGTAAAAAAATTAATTTTGAAATATTATCAAATGTAAC